AATACCTCACCAAACTTTTCAACGCCTCACTAGCCACACACACACCATCCCAGAGGTATAGAAAAACGGGAGAGTAATCACCCTGCAAAACCCGGGGAGGCGCTCGGACTTGGGTGAATCCTACAGACCGATCACACTCCGCTCACCGGTGGCTAAAACCCTTCAAGCGCTACTGCTCCCGAAACTGACTCAACACTTGCATCTTCCCCCCAAAACACACATCACAACGCAAATAACTGACGGTTTGAACCAAAGCGTTCCTACGCCAGCACCATCTTAGTGGCACGTGATCTATCAAAGGCCTTTGACACCGTCAATCATGCAACACTCAAAGATGAAATTATTTCGTCCTCTTTCCCGTCGCACACCAAACGTTGGATCGTTAGTTACCTCTGCGGAGGCAGTCATCTGTTGTATTCCGACATACAAAACATCAAAGGCGCGTAGGATTAAGCAAGGTGTAACACAAAGTGGGTTACTAACACCAATCCTGTGTAACCCATACCTAGCGCAACTTCTCCCTCCACCTCAGGGAGTCTCCTTAGTCTACTATCAAAATAGTTCCTGCTAGGCTGCCACAGAACAACTGACAGTCTGACACAGAGAGCTGCACCCCAAGACACGTAAGTAGACACCTTATTCATCTAGAAGCAGGTTGCGACCAACAACTTCAATCACCGCTAATAGGGAATTTACATGAGGCGATTTTTCAGGCGACTTTTAGTTGAAAGCAACAATCGCCTGGTGTAAACAGCCTTTCAACTAATCGCTTACAATGAAGTTGGTCGGCTCCCTACTTTCGTTCAACTTTTGGTTCAACTAATTGCCTGTGAAAGTTGAATCATGTAAATTCCCTATAAGCCGCGAGGCATACCTTGAGGGCATCAACAACTTTCATCGCGAAGCAGTTATCACTGGAACACAAGCATGCCACGAAAACAAAGCCGGCCGCCTACCATCGATATGAGCGAACCACACTGGCGCAACTCGGATCTGGCTGGTGCATTCGCCTAAACTCATGCAGAACCAGATTAGACGCGGAGATCGCCGACACCTGCCCAGCATGCGGAGTCGGTCCGCCCAACACTGCTCACCTTTTCGCATGCCCAACGTATCTCCACCATCTGACATCCGAACCGCCCGCTTCCCGGGTCTAGGGTTGGAGTCGTCATATGGGGAAGATGAATAAACAATCAAACAATTCGGAAACTCCGTGCTGCGAAAACAACAACCAAATTAAAAAAAAAAAAAAATTTCGCGATTTTTTATTCAAAATTTCCGCTATGTATGCATATATTCAAATATGGTTTTACATTAAAAAAGCGTCGCATTGTTTCATATAGAAAACACGCCTTTTTTGAAAAAATATAAGTTTTTTTAAAAAATGGAAATATCGTATTTTGCTTTTTTCGAAACATATACGTGTTTTATATATAAATATATATACATATCAGATAAGAGGTATTTATAAGGATATAGGTTTTTCAGAGTATTAAAGATTTCACGAAAAAAAGGGCGGACCCCGCCCAACTTTTATTTTTTTCTAGCTGTTTAAGCGCTATTTTTTACTTAACTTTTTTCGTTTTACTTTGTTTTTAATTTAAATTATTTTTATTTTTCTTTTTCCCATTATCGATAAATAAAGTAGCCGATTAAGGAACTTGTTATACCAAGTACTCATGTACAAACAAATGCATATCGACATCTCTAATGTCAAACAGCTGTTATCGTGCTTGTTATCAGCTGTATTGGCCAAGTTATTTGTGTCAACAACTTGTCAAAACTGAGAAAAATTAAAACGTTTTGAACAATAGTGAATTTACTTGTCTTTCTAAATTTGTTGACCAAATTGTTGCTGTATTCAGCGCTTGCTCCTTGTTTCTAACGAAATTCATTGCACATTGCATACAACTAAATGCAGCGTACAGGGACAAACAACGCTTCAGATTGCTGTTAAATAATCGTTTGTGGAAAGAGCAGATGCAAGCAAAAAAAAATGTATGTAATAGAAAATTAAAACATTTTGTATACGGAGGCGTATACTCGATTCAAGAAGAGCTTGTTGGCAGAAAAAGTATAATCTGAAACGGCAGATACATTGCACATCAACGAAACTCAGTTGTGGTAAGTGCGAGCTGGTGCTTCAACTTTTCCTTGGTAGTGCTGTGAAAGCTTTTTTTGATTTTAATCCAGATTATTCCTCTAAATTGTGTAGTTGATTTTATGCTGACACTATAAATGTTTAGTAATCCTTTTCCTTGAATGAATTTTAGCGAAAGCACATTTGTACTATGCGGTTGCAGGATTGTTCAATGAATTTTGCTTGTAACTTGCAGATTGAGATACATTGTGCATAGTGACGTAACTGCACACGGTGGGCAGGAAGCAAAGATAGGTTGCATAAAAATGTCGACAAAAACTGAAAGCAGGGTTGTATTTGTTGATATTTTTAGGTTAAGAATCCCTCTGAATTGAAATCCTAGCTGCTCCTGTTTTAAAGATATCCACATTTTACATAGTTATGATAGGACCGACTTTTGCGAAAGAGAAAAACATCCTTGTGAATTAAATATTCAACAATGTATGTGTGAGTAAATGTGTGTATATATATTATGTGAAAATATAAGTTTATGTAAGTTTTTATCCGGTTTCAATCGTTTCCAAGGCGCACCACGTAGAGGCAACTTACTTTGCACCTCTTTGGTCTTTTTTTGGTTTTTTTGGTTTTATTTTTTTATATTTTTTTCTTGCTTTATTTTTTTATATCTGTTTTTTGTTTCCTTTTATTTTTTTTGTTGGCTTACCATATAATATAGTCACGCATTTTAGTATTTAAATATTTTATTATTTAGTTGAGTTTTTATATATGCTGGAATGAAAATGTCATTACAGTTTTCTTCAGGCGACTCACAAAAGTTGGTTTATCAATCATATTTATTTTGAATCTATCCCAGAATTTAATGAATTCCCTATGAACTGACTTCCCGGCCTGCTCGGACCATAATCCTAAACCATCGTTATTCAAGAATGAAATAGATTGCTTTAAATGTTTAAGGACAAAATGGATTTTGACAGTTTGAGAAATTCCAGTACTTTTCAAAGCTGTGCGGAGTTCGTTAAGATTTTTATCAAAATTACTAAGATCCGCTTGTTTTGCGGAAAACCATGTATTCACGATTTTGCTCATGGCTTTGAACGAGGCAATATATTTGGTATTGTTTTTACTGAGAGTTTCTTCCATACAAACTATGTTCGACATTTTTTTGTATGTGGAAGACACTGTCAGCAAAAAATAAATAATTGCAAAAAATCAACGAAATTTTCTGGTAACTTCAGACTTGCACTTTACTAATTGGCTCAAAAGCTACATTTTAAACATTTTTCTAAAAGATCTGATTAGAAATTGTGATCAGATGAAAGTGTCTCCGAGCCAATAATTTTGTACGGCACGGTACTTATAAGTAATCTAGGTTTCACGAAAAAAAAAAACAAATACAAGGTAACATCAAAATATCAGTCATTTGTTTCGTTGCTGTGAGCTTGTTTCAAAACTTCTGGCTTTTGCTATAATTGTAAAACTCTGTGCATGTCATTTTAACGTATTTAGGTACATACTTATATTAATCATCAACTATTGCTTATGCAAAACGTGCTACATTTAAAAAAAAAATCGCATATGAAAGAGCACCAACCCAACTCGTAATAATTTAAGTATACAAATTTTAGTATTTAGTATAGAAATATTCAATTGAAATACGCCAATATTAAAATGAAGCGCTTTGCACTTAACGGATGCTTTTTCATAATTAAGTTAAAAAAAATTTATTTAAATTCCATGCTGTCTGTAATGGGATTTGAACCCTGACGCTCTGGAAATTAGCAAATTGTGGCAAGCATCTTCGTGCACTCAGCTACAGCCAGACATGTAAATGTGCACTCAAATGTTCAGTTTGATTCAACACCACGTGTGCGTGGTATGAAAGTATTGTTTTTAAGTACGAACATTTCAAAACGATAATCAAATAAAACATATTCATGTTTACTATGCGTTATTTCCCCCAGTAAATTCATAAAATTTTTCTTAATATTACAACGCCTTTTTCTCTCAGCGTAGTCATTTTTAAGCAAAATTTGTGCAATCAAATCGAAAACCGGGACACTTAAATGAAACCCGGGACATTTTAAGGTTGGACCGGGACACCGGGACAAATAGTCTAAAACCGGGACATGTCCGGGAAAACCGGGACGTATGGCAGCCCTACACACAAAGCGCATACTTTCATGCGATTTTCTTTATGATCGCATTTGTGTTCTGGATGTACAATAGTCATTATTTCCTGACAGAAGAGTACATAAATACCAAAATAAATCTCATACAAGCTTTGAATTTATTTACTTATTATGCGGAGTACCGTTGGCCTAAGTTAGAGCATTTTTATTTCTTGCACAAGCGCAGTGCGACTTGCCTGCGCTACTTGCTTATAGCAACAAACCTTTAATAAAAAAAATTACTACCGTATTATATAGCATACAATATTGTATACATACATACATATATTGCGATATTGAAAGTGTTTGTAATGAGAAAGTTCACGCTACAGAAAAAGGTAATTGTGGTGTTTTATCTAAGTTGTATACCGGTAGCGCCCAATAAATCTCGATCAATTATTCTTTCGGTAGGAAAAAATGAAAATGTTTCACATTGATTTGATCCGTTTTAGTGAGTTAAAAAAGGGGAACAGATTTGTATGAGATTTCTTTTCGTATAAATATGCTCTAATTATCGAGAAGTACGCCTTCCAAATATATCCTATCAGAAGTATATAAAATGTGGATATCTTTAAAACAGGAGCAGCTAGGATTTCAATTTAAGCGGATTCTTAACCTTAAGATATCAACAAATACAACCCTGCTTTCAGATTTTGTCGACATTTTTATGCAACCTATCTTCGCTTCCTGCCCACCGTGTGCAGTAGCATATGTGAGGATAATTGTCCTTCAATACTGCAAATAATTTATGCTCAACCAGCATCATACCTCTTATTGCCACCGATTTTGTGCTGTTACAACAGTTTCATACCATTTGCAAATCATCGTTGATTACCTTAAGTGATAAGATAAGAGCGTACGTGTAATTTCTTGAGGATGACACTTTAATTTTAATTCATACATACAAACATACATTAACTTGCTATCTGGAGAATTAACCGTATCAGCTAGTCTACCATATATGGTTATTCCTTTGTATGTATGCACCTAAATACATGATTTATGGTTTATTATACAATAACTTTTTAGCAGATTTAACAAAATTCAAGCTGGTTAAATAATTTGTATTTGTACTAAAAAATACGAGCATTTAAAAGCACTTGGCAATAATGGTCGTGTTTTGTTAAAACTGCGATTAAGCACATTGTGCGGTATGTTTACATTTACGTGGCTAACCGTCGCACATGCTAAGTTTTCACTTAAGTGCTTGTCGACAATTCCAGCCGATAAGTTGACAAAATTTTTTTACAAGTATACAATTAAATTTCTGGCAGGTATTTAGATAAAATTGCATGCTTCTTACATTTCCCGTTTACCATTTTAAATATTGCCAATAAATTTCATGGTAAAATATTTATTTAATATACCCTAACACATTCATTTTCATTCTCAGATAAAAATTGTAAATAGTTGGAAATCTTAATTCCTAAAAAGCACATTAAAATGACAAATATCGGTAATATGCTACACTGTGTGTCCAAACAAATTAAACGTTCGGAACGGGATGCTGCTATTAGTTCCTTTTTAGCGACCGCCACTGAAACTGAAAATGTCAAACCAGATCACTGTGCTATTAAGCGTGTAGAGAAATTGGAAAAGGACGTTTTTGCGGTGAGTATCTTATTAAAAATAAATACATACATATAAAGCAAAAGTCATGCGATTGGTTCCATTCAATGGATGCTTAGATGGGTCGGTTTTGGTACGCTTGTGTTGCGGAGGCAGTTCTTCATTTCGCATCATTTCGCTTTCATTTTAACTACACACTTATGAACATAAATATAATAAAAATCTATAATGTTTAACCCTTCAGTTGTTCGCGCAAGTTTTGCACCTGTATCGCGCCGAAGAGTTGATGGTATCTTTCAATGGTGGCAAGGACTGCACAGTTTTACTAGACTTAGTTCATTCCTACTTTAAGCGCAACAAATGTATCAGTCATATACGACTGCCTGTATTGTATATCGAGGCAGAGGATGGATTCGAAGAAGTTGAAGCGGTGGTGCTCGATTGTGAACGACGGTATAATATAAATCTTATAAGGCGTAAGGGTTGTATAAAAGAGGCACTGACACAGATACTACAGGAGATGCCCGAAATACGTGCCGTTTTAATGGGCACCAGACGCACAGATCCATTTTGTGAAAATCTCAATACTATGCAGGTTAGCGAAAATATAAAATTCCATAATCAACTAGTTTTCATATACATATAACACATTCTACTCATTTTGCAGGTGACCGACTTGGATTGGCCCAGTTTGATGCGCATTAACCCGCTACTCGATTGGAGTTACAGAGATATTTGGTATTATACTTTCGTGCGACAAGTACCGTACTGCCGATTGTATGAGAATGGCTATACGTCGCTGGGTCATAAGTATAATACACAACCAAATCCACATTTACGCTTATTCGATCCTATCACGAAGGCTGTTACCTATAAGCATGCGGCTGAATTGGAAGATTCGAAATATGAACGCGCTGGCCGAGTGCGAAAAGATTATGTAGTGGATTGTGTAAATGAAGAGGAGGAAGAGAGCATTGAAGGGGAAACGGCGTAAGAGCAGGAAACGAACGAAATAAAGAATCGAAGAAAACTAAAAAAAAATATTGATAATAGCGAAATTGATGTATTAAAAAGTCGTTGTACTTATAGTGATAAAGCAAAACAAAAAACATACATTTGTCAGAATCTTCAGCACACCGAAGCAACAGGAATTTTTGTACAAAAACTAAGGAAATAGCATATAATTTTCTATATACCAAAAGGAGAATTGCTTTAAGCACTTTTGCGATGTACTATTGCAGCTGTAAAAAAATTGTAAACTATACATGCATAGATATGTATATATGTACAAACAATAGTGTTAATTTCATAATTGTGTGCCTTTCACTTTGAGAGGCTCGCCGAAGCACGTATGCAAAAGCAACTTAAAAATGTCTAAAACTTTGCAGTATACGTACTTATAATGTAAATTATTACTTAAAATACTTATCGAATAATTGCTTTGTAAATAGATATTGATTTAATAACATCAGGTGCTAAAAATACAAATAAAATAAAAATTAGTTTCTGAAACTATTACATAATAATGCAATCTTTGAATTTTTGGACTACTTCATTTCTTTTTATAAAAATTCACCTATTGCTAAATTAAAATTTTTAATACTCAAGCACTGAATTGCCGAAATCACAAAATATTTAAGCAACTAATTAATGATGACCGTAGCTCAAAAGGAAGTTTATCGAGAAATTTGTGTTCCATTAATTTTTACCTACACTGTGCCAAGCGTAGCCCATCGCTCTTCCGCAATCAGCTGATGGCGTCAACCTGTCTAAAAACCTGTCGGAAATTAAATTACGTTGAAAGCTATTTAATAAGTACGTTTTTACCACACACATTATTCCTTTCTTCTTGTAAGCAACTAAATTTACTAATATTATTATGGCGATGTACCAAAACTATGTACTTTGTTTCCAACTACTTTGTCAATTGATTAATTTCTAAAAGAAGCCATTTTTTTCCGACAGGGAGAGCTTCCACCTAACCCCACTTTGCCAGCTGTGCATGTTTTGATGAAATTCATGTTTGTTTCGCAACCGATCAAAAGCAAGTTGTGCGCACCATCGTAGAGGATTAGGTGAAAAGTTGAAAATTCCATGAATAAGCACACAACAAATGTTTGGCGTACACACAAATCGAAAACAAAATTAGATCTGCGTACGTGAATCATCATTGAGACGAAACAAGTTGTGAAACGCTAGACAAAGGGAGGCGGCCGTAGGCATGGCACGTTCAGCACAAGATGCTCTGGCTGTATTGCGAGGCATACAACTGGTAGCGGAGGCGTTGTGTCGCGAGCAGAGCGCACAGTGTAAACAGCGTTGGATTCAGTCGAGTATACGCGAGCTATTGCAGGGAAATTTTCAACAGAGCGCAAATTATTTGCAGCAAGTAGGCACACAACCAACGGAGGAGCTGAAAAAGTTGCAACAATTGCTACAGGAAACTAGTGAGCGCACGTGCGTTGTAATAGAGGGATTGCGACAATTGAGCCTTTCCAAAGTGCCTAACGAATTGCGTATGACTCAGCAGACGTTGCAGCGAGCAATGAGTGATGTAATTGGTGATGCGGGTATTGGCAAGACTGCTGGAGAGGGTGGTGCTGTGAAACCCAGTGGAACAGTCAATTTTAGTAGCAGCAATGCTGGTGCTGCCAACGCTGGCAAGACCGGTAGTCCTTTGGATGCAACACAGCTAGACATATCGTCCATTACACTACAGGAATTGGAGGAAATACTTTCGAAACGTAATAAAAATCGTGATATTAGCTTGCGTACGCCATCCACAGAGCATAAGCAAGTGAAAGATACTAGTGTGCAACCAACGGAAGCAGTTACAGTAGCAGCTGGTAAAACGCCAACGAAGGCAACAACAAGCGCAGATACCACAGCGACCGCAACATCTACCACAACGGCTGCCGCGACTCCAATTTCATCTGATGCATTGAGAGCAGACACAGTGTATGTAGAAAATATATTAAAAACAATTGCCGGAGACACATCTGCGCCGGACTCTGGAAGCACAACTTCCATCGAATTGCCCACCTTGAGCAAAGTGGCCAAACAACGACGTGTTCCGTCCAGTCGTTTGGGACGTATGGTTTCGTTTGGTGGTCTTTTTGCTGGTCTAGGTGTCGGCACTATAAACGAATTAACTAAGGGCGCACTTGGTTTAGGCGGCTCGAAAAACTTGAAGGAGGCCCTACTAAGTCCAGCTAATGCGGAACGAATTGTCGACACACTTTGCAAGGTGCGCGGTGCAGCGTTGAAAATCGGCCAAATACTAAGTATACAGGATTCGAAGGTGGTGTCACCACAGCTGGCTAAAGCTTTTGAACGTGTACGCCAGGCGGCCGACTATATGCCCGATTGGCAAGTGGAGCGCGTAATGATTACACAATTGGGCCCCGATTGGCGTAATCTTTTGGAAAGTTTCGATGAGAAACCATTTGCGGCGGCTTCCATTGGGCAGGTAGAGTATGAGTAGTGTGTTTTTTGTTCTTTTACATGTGCAATTTTATCTTTTCTTTATTTCTTTCAAGGTACATCGCGCTACATTAAAAGATGGCATGCAAGTGGCTATAAAAATTCAATATCCTGGCGTGGCGCAAAGCATCGAAAGTGATATTGATAATTTAGTAGGCATGCTTAAAGTATGGGATGTCTTTCCGCACGGCTTCTTCATTGACAATGTGGTCAAGGTAGGGGGGCATTATAATTTTACTTAAAGCTTTATATCTTCATTAATATAAGTAAATTTTCTTCAATTTGTAGGTGGCCAAACGTGAACTAAATTGGGAAGTAGATTATACACGTGAAGCTGAATATACAGATAAATTTAAGCAGATGATTGCACCCTATCACGAGTACTATGTACCGAAGGTCATTAAAGAATTGACTACAAGCAGCGTACTGACTACAGAATTAGTGCCAGGTGTACCATTGGACAAGTGCTTCGATTTAAGGTAGATTGCAAATTCATAGATAATCCGTTGGAAATGCCAAGTTTACGCATTTACATAAATATTTTTTTTTTCATTGCAGCTATGAGCATCGCCATCACATTGCTTCGTCTATACTCAAGTTGTGCTTGCGTGAGCTGTTCGAGTTGGAGTGCATGCAAACCGATCCGAATTGGTCGAATTTCCTTTATGATGTTGATACGAAAAGACTAATGTTAATTGATTTTGGTTCAACGCGTTTCTATCAAAAGCAATTCATACGCAATTATCGGCAGGTGTGTGAAACTAGCTAATAGTGGAGTATCGTTGACTATTTGATTAAATTAAATATTTTAATTAAACTATGCCACTCTTTAGGTAATAATGCACGCTGCAGAGAATAATCGTGCAGGTGTCTTGCGCATGTCACGCGAAATGGGCTTTCTCACAGGTTATGAAACCAAGCAAATGGAAGAGGCGCATGTGGATGCTGTTATGATACTTGGCGAAATATTTCGCTTTGATGGTGATTTTGATTTCGGCCGGCAGGTTGGTTTAATTGATTTACAAATTTGAAGTGACTAGGAATATAATGAAGTTTTATTAATTTTTATTAGAACACTACCGAACGCATTGCACATTTAGTACCCACAATGGTCGCACATCGCCTTTGTCCACCGCCAGAGGAAATCTATTCCATACATCGCAAATTATCTGGTATATTTTTGCTGTGCTCACGCCTAAATGTACGACTTAATTGTCGGCCGTACTATGATGAAATTGTTATTCAGAAGTTCAAGGAGTAATATTGGAAAGGCACAAACTGTTAGGTATATATACAGGAAGAAATGTTTACTTTAGAAAAATGCATATAAAAATATATTTTATATGCACTTATGTATTTCAATATATAGATATACATACGTTGCCTTTATAATACGATCGCCTTGCTGTTTTTCTAACAATTTTAAGTATATTTGTAAGACAAGCTGTTGTTTGTTCGTGTATTTAAGGTACTTAGGTGGATTTGTAACTTGTCTTAAATCGTACAGCCGTATTTTTGTTTAGTTTAAGCATACAGTTAAATTAAATAAATGAAATAAAATGATTAATGTAGCTTACCACATTCAATACCATAGCACGGCTCTCACGACAGCTGGCCAGACGTAACCGACCTAGATTTTATAATTGGCCTTGTATATTCACTTCACCAGAATTCCCTAAAACACACAACAAGCAATGCATTCTATGCAATTTATGCGGAAAAATGCTTAGGATTTCACTTTACACACACTTAAATTAACTTTAACACTTATTTGGGGATTTTTTAAGCGGTATACTACGTTTTACACTTCTCAAATACACTCTTCTGAAAGACTCTGGCTTAAGTACTTTACATACAAAACTAAATTAACTGTTTTTTTCTATTAAATATCACCTCACTTCTAATTTTTACTTTAATTTCTAATTTCTCATTTGTAACCCGACGCGCACTCACTTGTATTTTAATTTCAACATGGCCGTTTCTATGATAAAACAACAAAAGCTCGTTTTATTTGATATGAAGTAATTGCACATCTCTAACAGCACAACAAAAAAAAAAGCAGGAAATCCGCGCGCATTGGCGGGAAACGCCATTTTACTTCCTCTTAAAAAGCGGGTTTTGTGAAATGCCCCAAGTCACATCTCTAGAAAACAGCTGATTTTTAGTTTTGCGATAACTAAATAAAGTTGTGGCATGTACATCGGTTTATCTAAAATTTTGTGTAAATTATGTGGCATAGATCTAAAATATTGTTGAACCGAAATTAAGATAATGCTGCGCAGTCAAATTATAACAAATAAAAGAAGTAAGCCAAGAAGGGTATGCTGTGAAAGAGAAACGGAAGCGGATAGAGGATGTGTGATAAAGTGGTATGTACATAACAGGAAGTGAAGCACTGTGGTCGAGTATAATGCAGGAGGTTTGTATAAATAATTATATTCAATAATTAATACGAGTAACACCTAAATTTTTGAACATTGTGTATGTATAAGGAATTTTTTGTGACATTGGCCGGCTAGCGCCACCTTCGTGCATTTTAGCATCGTTGGTGCAAAAGATTCAAAGTTTTAAACTGTGTTCGACTCAGAGCAGATTTTTGCAACAACGAGCTCTTCTATTTTACCAGGCATAACACTTAAGTGCGTACGCATGCTCGTTTTCCGCCACTGGAATCTATTATTCCATTAGCGGAAATGCTTCTCTTAATCAGAAGCATAGCATGGCCAAGAGGCAGGAAATGGCATACACTAAGCCAAATCTGATAGAAAATTCAGCAGAACACTGTACTCGCCCTAAACCTAAGAATTCGTTTACATGCATAAGTATTTTTGAGGCGAGGAACAAAAAGTACTTTTAGGGGTTTAGGAATACACCGACATTATTTTGAAGCAGATGGTCGGTTATTAAAGCTTCAATAAGTATTAAGAAAGTAATCATCGATTAGATATGCAGTTTCCATATCTAATTTCTGCAGTCCAATAGAATCTCTTATTTTTTGTATCCTCTCTTGCCACAAATTACATTTCTTGCGGATATATGTATGCATATATGTAAACGAGCACACCAACAGTTTGATGTGGATCTGCTTTAGCACTTCATACGCTTACGATCTTAGCTGCTTGGCAGTCCAACGCGTCGCGAGATCGCCGCTCTCTTATGTACAAATGTTGAAATGCTTGTATTTGAGTATGTGACGATCCAAAATGTGCGACTCAAAGTTCGAAAAAGTTTTTCTTTAGCCTCTTTGCGAAAGGCCGGCCGATTGAATGGGTGGAATCAGTGCGTTTTTGCATTTCGAACGTGGTGATACGGTGGTTCGGAAGACGACCGATCGTTGGGTGAACGTATTGTGAAAATATACATATATATATATATACATATGTATTTAGATGCGTACTTGTGTGTGTATATACATATACTTAGTATGTACATACACTGCTTATGAGTACTACAAAAATTACAAAATGAATTTAAAATAACGAAGTTGGTGAAAAAAAAACAAAAACAAAAGAATAAAAAGTAAATGAATTAATAAAATGACCACAACAAAATCAGGTGGAGAGAAGTTTAATGTAATACAGAACGAAATCAAAATATAAATAATAATAAATAAACAAAACATTGATGTGTATGAATGTAAATACTTGCATATGTACATATATACAATGATATCCATATGCATGAGTTTATAAATTAGAATTTGCCTATATATAAATTCGTATATATACATACATATATACATATGTACACATGTAATAAGCATATCAATTGTCTTTCGCATAGATGTACATGCATACATATGTGTATGGTTGTATGTAGAAACATATGTATGTGTTCATATGTCGTTTTTATTGTACCATATATGTATGTATACACCTTTGTTTGTTGGCATCCTATCTACTGCTTATGACTTTTAAACAACCGGGATTGAAACTTTTGCATGGAGCATATTTGTGCGGGACGCCTGCCTCTGCAGGGATTAATTGGATTTAATGGGCGCTGAATGAATCGGATTGTCGTCGGGGCGTTGCGATAATAAGAACAAGAACTAGAGATAAACAACAAGAACGACAGCGACACTTAAAACACACTGCCTGTGTACGATAGGAAATAAAACAACAATGGCGAATACTTAAAAAAAAAACAACAACAACTAATGAAAACACACTCATATTAAATAATCAAATTAAATGCAAAGTGCTTATATACAAAGCAACGTACGTATATACATATGTATACATACATATAGATTTATACGTATGTATGCAAATGCAGTTAAGGAGCAGTGTATGTAGATTTATAGAGATGCACTTGGAATGCAGAGACATTTTTACTGACATACATATATATGTACATATATGTATCTGTATGTTTATATGCAAGCAAATATACACTTTGTATTGCCAATAGCTGAGTATGTACATATATATATACTTACTACATGTAAATATAGGCTTACATACGAGACTTAGCACATATATATACATATGTACATATGATGTGTATACGCAGATATGTTAGTTAATATGTAAGACATCTCAGCTATCTTAGCTTTAGCTTTACATAGCCTGCTCTGCATGATGACACAAAATATGCAAATTTATATCAATATATGTATGTACGCATATACATATGTACATACATATGAACTTACAAACGGGGTATTCCATGAGTAAGTACGTAAGGGTACGCATGGTATTCTGGGTTTTGGTATAACATAGAACCTCCAAAGGTTAATCAAGTCAACCTAATCACTTAAAATGGGTAAATTTGCACATTCATGCTTTTGGAAGAAGGGGGATGATCTGTATGTATGCACTATAAACATATGTAAGTAGTCAGATTAGACATCCACACTAAAGAGCAAGTAGCTAAATTTGAGACTAGTTTGATATAACAATAATCCCCTCAAAGATATTCTGAGGGCTACAGCATATCGTGAATTTTGAAATGACTGTACTGCGATAATTTTGGCCCTTAACTTTTGTCATTACTAAGTCCTTCAATAGGGACCACACTAAAAAATTTGTTCTAGAAGAAAATCGTACGTGTCCCAACCGTGACCGGAGAATTTTTGGGATTTCTTTTTTTTAATAACATCTGCTCCAAAAAGCATATACAACTTAGTTGGAATTTTTTTCGAATTTGGTAACAACTCATATAATGGTGAATTAGGTGTGGCTTTATCGAAATTGAAAAATGTTCAGTACTTTATAGTTAAATTTAAAAACAAACAAAATTTTTGCTGTACAAATGTTTTAACCGTGACAATGGAATACTCCATATGTATATATGTAAGTATCTATACATGACTATATGAATGTAAAAAAAAACTATCCCAGCCCCACAAATGTCCACTGACAGCGGTTGTTTGTCTGGAAAAAAGTCAAAGCCTCATATGAATTCAATGAGAGAATGATATGAATGAGAGAGTCAACTGATCGATATACGTACATACATACAAACAAATGTATATATGCAAATCATTCTATATACATTCATATGAATATATATACACACATACGCCACCTTATCAATGAATTATGAAGAACAAGTGTTAGCCACAAAAAGAAGCAATGAAAACGATTAAGAGGTAGAAAATGCATATACATATGTATATGTGCTATAATATAGTACTACTTTTACAAGTAGATTAGAAAGAGAGCGAAATGTAAAGGAAATAAAAAAAAAAAGTTTCGGCATTTCAGCTTTTGCTAAGCGCTTGTTCTAGAGAGATTACAAAGAGACAAAAAAAATTGAAATAAACAAGAAAATTGAAAATATAAAAATATATGTAAATACATATGTATGTATTTCATATATATATATATATATATATGTGTATAGAAAAAAATCATCATAAAATCTTTAAACATAGAAATAATGAAAAATTAAATGTAGATTGAAGAAATAAATGGAATAGAGATAAATATCAAATCAAAAATCAACTATGTTTAATAAAAAAACAATGATTTTCAAAATTAAATTAAATAAAGTAATTCAATAAATAAAAAGGTAAAAAACTAAATAAATAAACATTATAAGATACTAAAAGAACAAAATAAAAAAGGGTAAAAGTTAAAATGCAGTAAAATAACACAAAATCAATAAAAAGAAAATAGTAAATAGAAAATAAAAATAAAACTAAGTATAGATATATAAATAAAAGTATATCGAAAAAATAAGAAATTATTGTAAAAAAAATAAAAAAATAAAATAAAAAATTTAAAATGTGATAAACTGACAAAGAAAATGGAATGAAACTATAAAAAAATAAAAATATTAGGCAAATAATAAAATACGTCCATACAAATTAAAAAGAAAAAGCTATAGAATAAAACAAAATAAACTAAACTAAAATCAAATAAAATTAATGGTCACGAAAAAAAACTAAACTCAAAATAACCAGATCGGAAATAAAATAAAAATAAAGTAAATAAAAAAACATACACATGAAGGAAAAAACAAAACCAAAAATAAGTTTGAAAAAAAAAAACATAAGAACACACAACAATATGATAAAAGTAAAATAAAAATTAAACAAAATAAAAAAGTGAAGTGTAATTTGGAAAACGGTAAAATATAAAAAAAATGAAAATGTCAAAAACTGACAAAGGAAAATGAAGTAAAATTATTACAAAAAATTACTAGGTAAATAAAACCAAATAAAAAAAAAACTAAAAATATAAAATTAAAACAAAACTTAAATGGAAAACAAAAAAAAATTAACTTAACATATAAAATTTTTTTTATTATATTATTATCAATTTTTTCAAATTATTGTTGCTGTTCCACAATAAATTTTCATTTAAAAAATGGCCTTGAGCTCAATAAAAATTGTTGAATTTAACATATAAAGTAAAAAATAAAATAAAATAATCCCACGCCTCCACCTTTTGCTAAAAAAGCTGTGTTAAGACAGAAATGCCAGGCGTAGACCTCAAATTTCCACTATTGAACTATGTATACTAAAACGGGGCTAAGTTAAAACAGAAATTTGACAGATGCTAAGACACATTTAGTAGAAGGTGGAGACGTCGGGTAAAATAAACGCAATTAAAATAAAATAAAGAAAAACAAATATAAATAAAACCAAAAAAAATGAAATTCAAAATTAAATTAAAAGTAACAAAATAAACTTAAGAGCAAACCATATAAAAATAAATGAAATAAAGCAAAATCGAAAAGTATACAACAATATGATAAAGTAATATAAAAATTAAACAAAATAAAAAAATAGGAAAAGTGTAATTTGCAAAATGGTAAAAAATAAATAGAAAAAAAAAAATTATTAGGTAAATAAAACCAAATAAAAATACATATATATAATATATAAAATTAAAAAGAATTTTAAATTAAAAGAAAAAACTAAAATGGAGAACGAAAAAAATTATAAACTTAGAATATAAAAAATTTTAAATGAAATAAACAAAACTCAAGTAAAATAAAATGTAGGAAATCCAAAATAATTAAAAACAAAATAATTGGAAAATAAAAATAAAAATAACAAATTGAATAAAAAAAGACAAATAGGACAGGAAAAAATAAAACAAAAAATAATCTTAAAAAATACAAGAGTGCGAAAAAAATTAAAATAAAAATCATAAATATAAGAAAAATAGAAAAGTATCATTTTCAAAACGGTGCTATAAAAAAAATAAATAAAATGTCAGAAGCTGACAAGGGAGAAGAATATGATATGATTAATATTAAGTAAATAAAACAAAATGAGAATCTAAAATTAAAAAGAAAAAACTAAAATGAAAAACAATAAAAATTGTAAACTTGAAATATAAAATTTTCAAATAAAATAAAATTAAAAAATATAAAATTAATTGTAAAATTAAATTAAAAACAAGTTAAATTAAAAATACTAATAAAATAAGAAAAAAGAATAACAACAAATAAAACAAAAAAAAATAATGATTTATTTTGGAACGAATTTCTGTCATCCCTTCTCACGCTTGGTATGCAGACAAACCGGTTTCGGCGTTGTGCCATCTTCAGTGTCATTTTTCGTCTGCAAACCAAGCTTGACAGGGGATGACGGAAATTCGTTCCAGAATAAATAATCTTACCACCCTGTCGGAAAAATCAACCAACACACAAAAAAAAATAATCTCGAAAAAGACATACAACAATACGAAAAAAAAGTAAAATACAAATTTAACAAAATAAATAACGAAATTGCATTTCATTGTTACTGGTGGGACATTTGATTCAAGAATGTGATTAATTGTTTTATTTTTTAACAGAGAAAAATAACTAATGTACAATTTTTGTGTAACTATTTTTGAGCAAAAAAAAAAATTAAAACTTTTCTCTAAACTTATTAAAGTGCAATGTAATAATTATAACTATAACAAAAAAACACAAGTGCGTCTTTACATGTGAACTTGCCGTATAAATTA